CTCTAAAATCACAACATACTCAATAATTTTAGAATAATTGATCTATAGCTCTATTTACTCTCTGATTGGTAGTGAATGAATAGGAATTCAAAATCTTTCAAATTTAAAACTTACCTTACTCTCTTGATATAAAAACAACATTCTTATTAAATCTCACACCTATTTTATTTTTTTCTCCTCTTTTCTTCCCCTGCCAAAGCCACCTCTTTCTTCCTCTATTCTATCATTTCGAAAGTAATGTGTTTGCTCCTTTAAAATCAATATAGCATATTTTTAAACTATATGTTCACGGAAGACTTGGTTGTAGTTCTCTTCTTTTCCTAATATTTATCTGCTTTAAAACTATGAGCCAACTCTTGCATGATGTTATAATTATGCAAACATCAAATAGAAGAAGATGGTAAACAACCACATTACATACAAATTGATTAATACTTGTCTTCAAACACCATAAATAAAGCAACCCATCTTTTCTTATATCAACTACACAAATTCTTTTTTCATTAATCACAGCCAGTATCTACAAATCTAAAATACCATATAAATAAAAAGTAGAGTGATGACATACCTTCTCCCCATCTACGGTAAAATCTTGGATTATCCACAATCGAATTTTTGGGATTAAAGTCTAAGTAATCGTCAAAAGATTAAATGCCATTGGACCCATAACCGATCATACATATCATCAATCATATGAAAATAAACATGCCTCCATGTGTCTTTGAGGAAGAGAATACCACAAAAGGTCCAAAATCCCATCACATATCCTAGTACCATGCTGATATAGAACCATAGCCACTCGGGAATCTCCTTCTTGTACTCTTGTATAATATTTTGAATTGTTTTATTATTAAAACAACTTTTGAAAATTGGTGGTCCACATAAGTCAGCATTACCCATATAGATGGATGGATCAATAAAGGTTTGGAGTTGATGACCAAATGTTATCATTCCCGAAAGATTATTATACGATAAATTCAAATAGCTCAAGGAATATAAAATCGATAAGCTCTCAGGAATGCTACCAGAAAGATCATTTATCGATAGATCAAGAGATTCTAATGATTTCATTCCTTCTATCTCTCAAGGAATTTTCCCTTGTAAATGATTTCTTGACAAATTCAAGTTCTTGAGTCCTGCAAGGTCTCCAATTCCTTTTGGTATCTCTCCGGTTAGTCTATTGTTTGAAAGATCCAAACTTTTCATAAGACTTATGCTGCATTGTAAATAATAAAGGTCTTGTCCCTTTGTAATGACATCTAATTCATAATCACATAATTCATAATATTGTAATGTCGATCTCATGGTACTTAAATTACCAATGTTCTGAGGTATTGAACCAGAGAAGTTGTTATTCGCAAGATCCAATATTTGAAGCTTTTCAAATCGAGCAAGTTGCCAAGGAACAACCCCTGAAAACATATTTGAACGAAGACGAAGCACTACCAGTTGTTGTAGATTATCTCCTATCCATGGCGTTATACTTCCGACAAAATTGTTTTGAGCCAAATCAAGAAACCGTAACCCTATACAATTTTTCAATGACAAAGGAAGCTCACCTGAAAAACTATTATTTTTTAGTTGCAAATGCCAAAGCCCACTTAAAAATCCGATCGTGTGTGGAATTTCACCCGAGATGTGATTGTTGTCCAAATTCAAGAAATAAATATTTCGTAATGACTCCCCTAAACAATAAGGGATCTCACCAAGTAATTTGTTGCTCGAAAGGTCAAGGTATACGAGACCACCTGTCCATTGGCAGATTGACGAACATAAGTCACCGTCAAGCTTGTTATCAGAGATCGACACAAATGTAACATAAGGCCATATCGGCAATTGCCCTGTAAAGGAATTATTGGAGAGGAATAGAGTTTGAAGTGTAGACGGTAGCATCGTTGGCAATGGACCTTCAAATCTGTTAGAACGCAAAGATAATGTTTCCAACTTGGTGAAGTTCAAAGAAGATGGCAGCTTGCCTCCTATTTGGTTGTTGGAAAGGTCAAGGTATTCGAGAAATGTCAATTGGCAGATTGATGAAGATAAGCCACCGTCGAGCATGTTATCTGAGATTGACACAAATCTAACATGGGGCCATATCGGCAATTGCCCTGTCAAGGAATTATTGGAGAGGTCTAGAGCATCAAGTGTAGATGGTAGCATCATTGGCAATGGACCTTCAAATCTGTTGGAGTATAAATATAACATTTCCAACTTGGTGAAGTTCAAAGAAGATGGCAGCTTGCCTCCTATTTGGTTGTTGGAAAGGTCTAAATATGTGATGGTAGAAGATGAAATATTCCCAAACCAAGCGGGCATTGTCCCTGCAATTTTACAATAATCCATGGATAAAACTTGGATCTGTGTTTGAAACTGCAACCATTCTGGAAATTGAGGTCCCAACTGACAATTGGTTAAATATACTAATCTGAGTTGGAAAGGGGGAACCCAACTCTGGCCAATTGATATGGTGATGGGGTTGTCAGACAAGTCCAACACTTGCAATCTCGTAAGATTCTCAAAATGAACTTCTGAAATAACACCTCCAAGAGAATTTCCACCGAGATACAATTCAGTGAGATTAGACAACATACCAACGGAGGAGGAAGGCATGGAACCGTTGAATAAATTATAATGGAGATCCAAAATGATGAGATCCGTCATTTGCTCCAGCCAATCGCTCAAATTTCCTATCAATTGGTTGCCTGGCATATGTAATTCTTTCAGTCTACGAAGATCAACCATGGATCTCGGTACGGTACCCTCGAGTTGATTGACTCCTAGATCAAGAAAAGTAAGAGAGCCCAAGTCTCCAATTGCATCAGGAATAACGCCATGGAACCCAGAATAATAGAGATCAAGATGGGTAAGACTAGTAATATTCCACAACCATTTGGGTAAGGTGGAGTCGAAATTATTAGTGGAGAGATCAAGGACGGTAAGAGAGGAGGTGAAGTTGACATGGACAACAGAAGCAGGGATGGTATCGAGACCAACGTAAGACATGTTTAACACCTGGAGGGACGGCAGCATGTTCACCGACGAGAACCAATCTGGGACATCGGTTAGGTTCAACCCGCTCAAGTCCAGGTGCTTCAAGGACGTGAGATGGGAGAGCCAGTCGAGGTTGTCGACGGGATATCCGTTGCCATAACCATCGACGTATAAAGCATCGCTTAGATCAAGAACGTAGATGCTCGAAAGGTTCCCCAGCCGAGCAGGTATTCCTCCCATGAAATTTGTAGAAGATAGATTAAGGTATCTCAGTTTCTTGAAGGAGCCGATGAATTCCGGCATGCGGATCCCTCTGAAATCATTGAAGCTAAGATCCAAGTGCCTCAGATGAGATAAAGCAAGTAATGACGAGTTCATCCTCTCACCGCGTATTGCCCCATCAAGCGTATTCGTGTTCCGGAGGTCCAGCTTGACGACGTGGCCAGTGGTGGCGCGACAGATGACCCCCGCCCATGCGCAGCAGTCTTGTCCTACCCAAGAAGATAGCCGGTTATGGGTGTCGTGGATGCCGGCTTTGAAGTCCAACAGTGCCTCCCTCTCCAAGCTGAAACACCCACTTGTCACCGTGGCCCGGTGGAGGAGGAGGGCCAAGAGGCACAACGACAATGATGATAAGAAGCGTAAAGGGAAACCCATGGCGCGCAGTTTGATCTCCCTCCCTCCCAACCTACCTACTTACTCCAAGCCGCCACAGTCAGAAGAACAGGATGAAGGTGGAGGTGCATGCTACGCTATGCCAAATCACAAATTTATAAGCCAACCGATGCACACAACTTCTTCCATTCCATGCTCTAACTTTCTCCGCTCCATTACATCATGCATGGAATTAATTGCACCGACTCGCTCTCTAAAGAAGACTTCGACTGAGAGCACACAAGTCACCTTCACCATCGGAGAGTTCGTATGTGACGAAGGAGGTAAGAGTTCATGCGGATACGATGCAGAGCATCATGCGGATCATGAACGTGAAGCCAAGTATGCATAGAATTGATCGAGACTACACCACGTTGACTCAGAAACAGTTGACTGACTGATAGAAATCCTTGGAAAACAAGACAGTGAAAGAAAGAAATCCTTGCTATACTCTTTGGAGTTTCATTTCTAAATAGAAAATAATTTCTTGAAGGCCCATGTGAGTTGATGTACCAAATATAATTGGATTGACTCATGAGATAGATTTATTCCTTACATTTTTTGCATAACGAAGAATATGTGTTATTTTGAGTACATGTCACATACCACCGTATTGTGGATGGTACCCATTATCCATGATATATAAATTGGGCATAGCTCACTCAGCTTGCTATGTGTGGTTGGAATAATAAATTGAACTTTATGGTTAGATAGAATTTTGATTTATGAATTCTATCCAAGATATAATTAAAACTAAAACCTTAAGTTTACCCTTTATAAAATAAGAGCTCATGTAAAGTAATACTTTAGGTATAAAATTTGAGATGAGAGATGAATTAAAATAGATTAAAGTTTTTATATTAAATACATAATTTTGAATTTTGAACTCGCTTCCTTTTTTTTTTCTCTATCGTCACTTTCAACATAACATCATGTGACGTAAGAGTAAGGGCCAAGTTTTTGTTCCATCATCATAGGGTTAAAATGAAAGATACCTAAGGATGAAAGTCGCCATGATTAATACATCGGTCTCAATCGGTGGGATAAGCACCGTTTGACAGACGAGCGACTTGTAGGAAACAAAACAAAAAAAGTGAGGTTGGAGATATAAAGCGGAATAACTTTTGTATATGAACAAATATTAGAAGACCATAATACGCAGCGGAATTAAATGGAAGCATAATCAAATAGAACACCAAGATATACGTGGAAAACTCCTTAAATGTGAAGGGTAAAAACCACAGGGCAAACTAGAGATAATCCACTATGAGAATAATGAATATACAAATCTCAATCTCTTGCCCTAAACCCTAGTAACAATCACAAGAGAATAACTAGGATACAAGGATCACGTCATTGCCCACAATATCTAAAACCTCCCCAAGTAATCACAGCAAGAGTCTACTGTAGATTTGATCTAACCTGAGAGGAGAACACTGCTAGATGATTGAGAACAGTCTCTCTGCGTTGTCCTTGTCTTCTTCCCTTTCTTTCTCTTCCTTTTCTGTCTTGTTTTCCTCCTTTTCTTTGGAATCCCATGGCTATTTTCTTCTCCCACGTTGCTGCCTTATTTATGTCTTTTTCTGCCTCGAATCTATGGGCTGTCAGCCCAACATCATCTTCTTTAAATTTGATTGATGATGAGTGGTGAGAAGCCTCACATCCGTAAGCTGCATTCCATGGATTATTTTTCTACACGTCGCTGGCCAAGAAGACTTTGCCTTGAGGTAAATTAGAATTTAGATTAGAGTTCTAAATAGAAAAATTAATTTTTATGAACATAAGGATGCACCCAACAAACTACAATTTGACTTGCAATTAACATCTATCATTTTCTCTTCTTCTCTTCTTTCAAGTGAATATTTGCTCTCTCAAATCTTAAGCAGCACATCAAGCATAATTTAGTGTATAATCTTAACAAAACTTGCATGCGTTGGTTGAAGCTTGGATTGTCATAATGACAATTTTAAGAAAGAAAGTGCCTCATCTGCAGCGTAATATGTTTTCTAGATGCTAAAAGAGTACTGTATTCCCCCTCTTTTAGAAGCATCCTCTTGGTATAACTTTTTTGTCTAGGAAAGACGTCAAATAATATCATGGACGAGCGTGCTTCATAAGGAAAGATATACCAAAGAAAGTTAATTGGGATAGCTACTCAACACAATCGGGTAACCATCCACTTAGGTGAGTGGGCAAGACTCGAGAACTTTACAAGTCTTCCATGTCTACTGGTGAAATGAAGAAGATGACTTGCATGCTGTGTGGAACAAGTGGAGATCAAAAGTAGTCCATGGAATGGGAGAATTTTGCGTACATCCCTTTCCTTTCCTCATCAGTTGCTTTATAAACCATGAATGTTGGCTTTGTGATTTCACCGGCCATACACCTCCACCTTCTTCCTGTTCTTCTGATTGCAAGTGGGGGTTTTTAACATGGAGAGGGAGGTTTTGGAATTAAACTTATTAACTTATCATAAAGAAATTCAATTTGTATCAAGAGAAAAAATAAATTAAATATCTAAGAACAAACCAAAAACTATTGGTTAGAGGTTTTTAGAAAAGAATGTTTTATTTTAAATATAATTAATATAATGTATCTATCGGACTATATAAACCTTGGGTCATGAAACATAAAGTTTTAAAATTGTGAAGAGTTTTGAGTGAAAGATAGAGTATTTTGCCTTGTCCTACTTTTAGATTGTGTGATAGCCATCATCTTACTCTTCCATTGTGTGATAGTTATATCTCTTTTTACTATCAAGTTCAACATTTGATATTAGAGCTTAGGTTAAGTTATGACCTCTTCTTCAAGCATCACTCAACTCTAAATCTTTTGATTAACAAAAGAAAATTATGACATGTGATAACAAAGAGATTTTCTCAACTGCATAGCAGATGAGATTTTCTCAATTGCACGAGGAAATCTCACTGCTCCATTGAGGAAATCCTCTCATTCATCATATATAAATAGGCACCATATAATACTAATTGAGATGTGTTTTCCTTGTTTCTATCATTTCACTCTTCGTTTTATCAATATGGTAAATCTAAATGAATGTTCTTCTAGACTCTCAAGATGTATGAGAGTTTGTAAAATATGAATTTGTTGAATCAAGTTAAATAGAATGAGCAATCAATATAGAAATATAACTCAAAAAATAGAAGAAAAGAGAAAATGACTTTGTTCACGATCTTCTAAGGGCCTGGTAATATAATGTTTGAAGTCATCACTCTAGTAAATACTTCAAAAGTATTTGGTGGTGTGGATCAAGTAAAATAGCTCCGTCTATAAGTTTTACTAGTTGATTTTGCAAAATTACAATAAGATATTTCTGAATCTATTTCTAATTACTTCTCAAAAGTTATTTCTATTGTTTATTAAATGAGACAAAATGGTGAACAAATAAGTGATGAAAGAATAATAGAAAAAAAGTACTAAAATCTCTATATCCAAAGTTTGATTTTATTTTTATAGTGATTAAAGAGTTTAAAGTCTTAGAACAAATATCTTTAGATCAACTAATAGGTTTTCTTCAAGTTTATAAATAAAGACTTACAAAAAGAGGAGAAGAAAAATATATATAGTAAACACTATAAACATTTACTCTAAAAAATAAATATAAATTAAAATCTCGAAGAGAAAAAGGTTGTGGACAAAGAGGAAGAAGTTACAGAAATCAGACCAATTAAAAATCTCAAAACAATGAAGGTGATAGAAAAAATTTTAGCTAAAAAGGATAAGGTTATGGTTGAGGATGTGGCCGAGGCCGTGGACGTGATAAAAATTCTAAAAGGTCTGAAATTCAATGCTATGTTTACAAAAGGCATGGACATTCTCCTAATGACTTATAATAATAATTTGAAGAAAGATTAATATATGACATAGTATGAAGTTTTGTTGAGAAAGAAAAGAACCAAAATCAAGTTTTGTTAATAACTTGTAATAATTTGAAGGAAGATCAGTTTATAACCTAGTATCTAGATATAAGAGCTTCAAATCACTTGTGTGGCATCAAAAAACTATTTTCAGAAATGGATACAAGTAATTCCAAGAACATTACATTTGGTGACCTATCTCAAAAACTAGTAAGAGACAAAGGTAAAATTTTTCTTAGATTTAATAAAAAAATCTATATGTTTCAAATGTTTATTATGTTCCTAATATAAAAAATAATATTGTGAGCTTCGAGCAACTACTCAGATGTGAAAATGGTGAAGAACAAAATGTTTCCTTTACATTTATGCATATTTGATTGGTCAAATGATTTTAAAACTGATATTGAAATCACTTCTAGTATCTTAGATATACTTACTTAAATTTAAAACTTTGAAACTTCAAGTACAATATGGTGACAATAATATTATGAAATTGATAGCCCATCAAAGTTATGTGAAGTATATGTCATCGACAAGTAAGAAAGAAACACTTTCAAATTAAGAAGAACAAAAAGAGCATGACATCGACTTGATCTAATGCACTCAGATGTTTGTGGCCATATCAATCTAGTATCACTTATAGGAAGTATGTATTTTTTTTACTTTTACTGATGACAATAGTGGCAAAGCTTAGGTTTACATGTTAAAGGAAAAAAAAATTTAAGCAAATTCAAAGAATTTAAGAATTTGGTTGAAAATCAAAGTGGTTATAACATTAAATGTTTAAAAATAAACAAGGATGACAAATATTAAAGAAATTTAAAAGTTTTTATAGAAATAATAGAATTTTACATCAATTCACCATGCATGCTTCAACAAAATAGTATCTTAGAAAGAAAAAATAAGGCTATACATATTATAGTATGATGCATGAAATTCCTAAAGAATTTTGGGGAGATACTATTGCTTGTGCAATTTATTTGCTTAACAGGTTTTCAAGGTGAATTAGTAATATTACACTAGAAGAAGTACGGAGTTTATAGAAATCAATATCTCTTAAATGTTGCGGAGGTCAATATGTTAATTGGGTAATAAGTTGAACGAGAGGACGATGCGGCGAAGGGTAGATGAAACGCTGGACAAACCAATGACATACCATATTCATGCTTTGTAATTAATTATATCTTGATTGAAGTAGTTTATTGTGTAATTAAGTTGGTTTGTAGTGAAACTATACCAACTTAATTAAGGGCCCATTGAACCTGATCTAAGGCTAAGTTGGGCTCATTCGAAGGCTTATTCAATGACCCAAAAGTCGGGTCAGGCGATGATATTGCTAGATTAGGTAGTGGAATCGCCAGAGGCTCAGTCTCCAAGACCCATTCTCTGAGGCTGTCAAGTGATGGTATCGCTAGACTGGGCAGTGATACCACATAGTGTTAGATAGTATTGGCAGTTGTACTGTCAGTACCCTGAAGAATTGGGATGAGACTATTTTTTACTTCAAATTTGAATTCATTTGGAGCCTATAAATATCTCACTCATCCCTGCTCGATTAATACAAAAACTGAGAACAAAATTATGTAAAAATACTGTTATAATTCTTTAAGAGTTCCCTTTCTCTAGCTTTATGTTTTAAATTCAATTTGAGAGAAGGATAAGAGAATTATAAAGATTATCTCGTAAACCAGTGAAAATGAGAAAAAAATTGTAAGAGGGTAATTGGTCTTCATATGTTAAAAGAAGATAAATAGTGGAAGCCAATAGCATTGACGAAGGAGGAATCAAAAATAGACGTAAACCACTATAAACTTGATGTGCACTCTTTCTACTCTTTGTTACTATTGTTTTCTGTTTTAATTGCTTATCACATTTGCTCAAAGTTAAATACACTTTCCATATTATTTCTGATACAATTTCATTGAAACAGTTTTTTTTTTTTTTTTTTTCAAATCAACATCATTTTTTCAAAAGCACTAATTCAGCCCCATTTAGTATAGATTCGATCCTAACAGATCGTATCCATTCGACAAGTGACACCTTTTTTTGTTGCTCCAACACAGCTGATAGGCCTGTAACCAGTTCCAGAACAACTAATATACATCACTTTTTTCAGTCAGCTGGAAGGTAGCAGAGTACCTGAAAAAAGAAATGTATCAATGTAGTACTTGGTAACTAGTATGATACTTTTGTAGAAGAAACTAAGAAGATTGAATATTGTTTTGACTTGACTCATACATTAATTTGACATGATTCCTATGAATATTTTATAGATGTAAAAGGGGCAAAAATAACCATCCCAGAAAGGTCCAACAATTGTTCGTGATTCTCCTCTCCTCTTGTAAAGTTAGCTAAGAAAGAAATCTGCATCACATTTGGAAAAAGAAGTTTTTTTTTGTGATTTCTTCTCATTGTGATTCTACATCATTCTCTTTTTCATTTAGTTGCCAAAGTAATTCTTAGATTCTCTTCTCTATAAGACAAATTAAACCGACTTGTCAGTAGAGGGCCAATCAAGAAAATCCTGAGCAATTCACACTGCAAATATTATTATCTGGCAAACTTCTGTGAAGTAGAAAACATACTCGGGATCTATGTATCCTGGAGTGCCAGCCACAACATCAGTAGATACGTGAGTCTGGGCATCTGTCAGGAAAGGCTTTGACAGCTCAAAATCTGCTACCTTTGCCTCAAAGTCATATGTTAAGAGGATATTGTTAGTCTTTACATCTCTATGGATTATAGGTGGCACACATCCCTTGTGTAGATACTCCAGACCTGTTCATAAATTGTTCAGTGGAACAGAAAGTGAGAAATTGAAAAGATAGATATATAAAAAGCAATACCAATTGAAAGATCACCTTGTGCGGCTTCCACTGCTATCCGAATTCGTTCTCTCCAACTCAATGTTTGGCTATTTCCAGTTTTATCTGCAAAATGAACTCCATAAATTCAGCATAACGTAAAATTAACTCAAGAATATTATGTTGCACAGTTCTATAAGGACCGGATGAATTTGACAATGCACTAAAGATTCTGAATGTCTCAGATACAGTCAAGAACATTTTATCTATAGAAAAAAAGGTGCAGTTAAGAATCTAAAATGTTTATAAAAAATGAAAAATCGTACTGGATAAGTCAGTTACACTAAGCTCCAGAATCTTGACAAATAATGATCAGGGTACTGTTTTTGCCAGAAGAAAAAAAAAACTAACATGATAATATCTTATCAATTGCATTAATTCAATCCAATGATAATGTATGACAAAGGAAAGAGAGAGAAATTCTAGGTGGAGAATGAGAAATATACTGTCGAAAGATACAACATTTTCGGGTAAAGCAACTTAAACTGGATT